GATACACCTTTATTCATTCATTGTGCTTTCTGATCTGGAACAAGCCTTAAGTAAGTGCCGGAAAACACAGAAGGTTGTTCTTTCTGTTGAGTTAGGGATCTCTCTGTTTACCGTAGTTGGCTAAACTTGTTGAACTGTTTGGCCGTTTTGACAGTGGGTTTGCTTGTTGAATATTTGTGATGAGATATGCGACCATTTGGACAGCCACGCTTGTTTAGCTTTACAGATACTGTGATACGGATCCGGAACCGACACAATGATGTCATTCCCACGATGGCCCAGGGGGTGGTTGAATATAAGGAGAGCTTCGGTGTGGATCCTGTCACCAGCCAGAATGTTCAGTACTTTCTGGATCGTTTCTACATGAGTCGAATTTCCATTAGAATGCTACTAAATCAGCACTGTGAGTATCTGGTGGTTGAAAGAAGAGCCAAAATAAAATACATTGGTACCTTTAAAAAAAATATTTTAAAAACTTTGCTTTATGGGGAAGCTTTGAGCTTCATTTTGTTACGTCTGTTAAGGAAACAGAACAGCCGCATAGACCTGGCATTTTTATTGAATGTAAAATTCTTTGTGTCTGCACAAGGGAAAAACTCCTTTTTGGTATTTGGCAACGCTTAGAAAGTAGTAGTCAGATCTTTGAAAGGGATATTAGCTATACCTAATTTACTTATTTTTGACAGCTTTGTTGTTTGGTGGGAAAGGCAAAGGAAGCCCATCTCATCGAAAACACATCGGGAGCATCAACCCAAACTGCAATGTAATTGAAGTTATTAAAGGTAAACTTTCCAGTTTCCCCTTTCAGAAAGGATGCCAAAATCAAGCTGAATCGTTCTCTCTTGCTACCAAAACAACTGTTCATATCATGAGATAAAATGTTAAGTGCAACTCTGTGGATTGTTTGAAAATGACTTTTTAACCTATTTGTGCCTTATATTGAGGATCAAACCTTTTTCGGATCCAGTGCATGGTTAGGCAAAGTATGGTGATACTGTGCAGGGGAACAGGGTCACTTCAGAAAGTGCAAGTGCCCTTTCTAGCTCCCAATAATAAGAGCCTTAATTTATGACAGCTTGGTTTGCATTCTCCCACAATTTTGTGTTTTTAGTGCAAATGCACATATACATGGTTTGTGTTTATATTGTAAGATCATCTGTAGATTTTCTACTGGTTTACAGCCATCTTACCACGGGGTAGTCCACAGGGAATCATACAACTGTATGGGTGTTTCTGATGCCTGGATCTGTCCTCCCTCTGAGGCACCCGTGGCTTATTCAAATTGTTCTCTATTGGTAAAAGCACTGCCACAAGTGCTTGTAGTTCTATGCTGACCTCTGCTAGTAATTTGGAAGTCGAGGTTAACATTTTTACTTGAGTTTGAAATTTTAATAACTCCCAACAAAATAGCAATGGATCAGAGTACCTGTTTTCTGAGCCCGCACCAACTCTGAACGTTTCCCGGTTTACATTTTTGCCACTCTGATGGAAGAAAGCAAGTTATCATTGTTCTGCATTTAGTCAATTTGAGGCGACTTTTATCTGTCTTACTCCCTCTCTGCTATGGAGTCACTGCTGACACGCAGCGGCCCGTGGGGACTTGCGAGGCTGTAACTGTTTACAGAAGTAGAAAGCCCAGTCTTTCTTCCCAAGGAGCTACTGGTAGTTTGAACTGCCCACTATGCGGATCACAGCCCAGAGCACAACCACTGCACCACCAGGGCTCCATTTGGTCTGTTTATTGGTCATTTTATTTTTACTTCTATGAGTTGCCCATCACATCTGTTGCCTATTTCTAATCGATTTTTATAGAAATCCTCGTACTGTCTGCACATTTTTGTTTCATAACTATATAAACACATATACATATACATATATGTGTATATATTTAATATTTTCTCCAGCTTACTGCTTTACTTGTTTTTATGATATCTTTTTCAACACACACGCATATCTGTCAGTCTTCCTCTGGGCCTATTCGGCTTTGTCACATTTTCCCCCAAACCAAGACCTCCCCTACACCGAAATGATGAAAGTGGATTTTCTTCTACTCAGTTTAAAATTTCACTTGTCACTACTATTAACTCAACTGCTTTCTCTTTTGATTCGCACTAGACGGCTATGAGAGTGCCAGGCGTCTCTGTGATCTGTACTATGTTAACTCGCCTGAGTTAGAGCTCGAGGAACTAAACGGTAAGCTCGGTGTTGTCTGTGCCTAAATGAAGACTGCTGTGATCAGTAGGGGAGATGACGATGAGCAGTTAATTGGTTTGACTAGAAAAGAACATTTTATCAATGGATATGAAGGTTACAGGAAAGCAATTTAAGGAAAAAAAAATCTTTTTTAGGAAGTCTTGTAATAAACTGAGGTGGGATTCACGACAAAAGAGATTTTTTTGTGCTTTTTGATTCATGTTTATTTATTTTTAATGGACACTCTGGGTCTTTATTAATTTCTTATTTTCTAGTTAGTCTTAGAGAACCATGGTGCCTAGAAATTATTTTGTTTACTTTTGTTTGCCTTTCAGTCCTGTGCGGTTTGCTATCCGCGATTTGACGAGTAGTAAGTCCCTTTTCGCTGGTGAGAAAGTCAAAAGATGGGTTCAGAAGAGGGAAGACGCTCATCCACTTGAGAACAAATTTCTCTCCGATGCTTGTCTTTGTACCCTGGCTTCCCAAACTCAGTGCCTTCGATTCAGTTCCAACTCATGGAAGCCCTAAGGACAGGGTAGACTTGCCCCCGTGGTTTCCAAACCCGTCGATCTTTACAGGAGTAGGAAGTTTCGTCTTGCTCCCACGGCACCCTGGCTCGTGCCTTTCAAATCAAAAGGCTTAGCTGCCTTGGGAGGAGATTCATGAGGCTCCTTTCTTTTAGAACTAGTGTGGTGTGGTAGAAGGAAAACCATTTCCTAGGCTGAGAAGGTGGTGGGAAGAATAAAATGAAATAGACTGTTATTGAGCCTTATTCTAATGAGCCCTGGTGGCAAAATGGGTAAGTGCTTGGCTGTGAACTGTAAGGGCAGCTGTTGGCATCATCAGTCGCTCGTCGCTCCGCGCTCAGGAGAGAGATCAGGCAGGGCACTTCTTAACCCAGCGGAGCCGTTGTTTCTTGTCCTTCAGGCTCACCGTGACTGTGAGTCAACATGGACCCAATGGCAATGGATAAGCCTGTTTCTGGATTTCGGAGTCAGAGAACAGGGGGGATGGGGGGTGTAAATTAGCCAACTGAAAAGAGAATTGAATTTGACAGACCATGAATTGGTCTATGGAATTTAGACTTTTGTTAATGCGTCCCTTTGGAAAGTAAAAATCTGGCCGTACTGCTTGAGAGTCAGTCCATCGTCTTCGCAGAGAAGACTGGGTGGAGGTAAGTGAGTAGATTGGGATGCAGGATTGCAAGCAATGACTACAGTACTTAGGTTGTCACTGTCGGCTGTAAATCTGTGCGTTGGGGTTCAAACACCGACAGTGCAGTGAAGAGCAAGTGGTGTGGTTGTTGTCCCCCAAATCCCACAGTCCCCCATAGTAAATGTTTTCTTTTCATCACTACATGACTTTTTCTTTAAAATGCTTTCAGTGCATCTCTCTGTTCTTTCATATTTTTCCCTCTCTGCTCTGTAGCAAAATCACCAGGACAACCAATACAAGTGGTTTATGTACCATCCCATCTCTATCACATGGTGTTTGAGCTTTTCAAGGTTTGTAAAATAGTAACTACGCAACTTCACCGGTCCTTCCTTGACGGTAGGGATCTGCTTTGAACGTTCAGTGTGCCTCGGCTTCACTAACAGATTAACTGCTGTTTCTTGTGCACTCTCAGGTCGCATTGCCCTTCGTAAACCCTGATGGAGAGCTCAGGATAGTCATGAGCCCATACTTTGAAGTCAGAAAGACATGGGTTTGAACCTTAACTCAACCACTTAGTGACAAGTCACACAATCTCTCTGAGCCTTTGTTTCCTCTTCTGTAGGTCAGTCCCACTCAAGATTGCTAGGCTCTTTGGGAATAGCATAAATGTCAATGCAGGGAAGCCTATTATAGGTGCTCAATAAAGGGATATTTTATGAAACAAAATACTTAATAGAATTGAGTCTCGGCTTTTTATTTTCATTGTAATGTGACACTTGTTCTAGACAGGGAAGCGCAGGGTGGGTGGGAATGAGGAGTTGTACTGGTCTCCTCTGGCTGAAAACAATTATCTAGTAATTGTTTTTCCATCCAGTAGAAAATTAGAACAAAGAAGAGGCCACTGGCGGTCTGGTAATAACAAATGACAAAGCACTAAAACTGGGAAATGACCAAATACCTTAGAATATGATGAGAGTGAGCCGTTCGCTCAGCACGGGCTCAAAAAGTTCATTTGTCCCAGGACAGAGAATGCACCTAATATATACCTTACGTAAAAAAGGAAAATGTCTGTCAAAGTGCTTAACTAAGTGGTACTTGACATTTCAAGGAATAAAGTTATTTTTTTCTCTGACATTTCAGACACATAAAACATTCTGTGCCCTGTGTTGCTTGGGGGAAAAAAAAGTATGACCGTGTTATGTAACATTTTTTAAGATACCAGTAGTCATGTCTTTCATCTGGAACCTCATCTTAAACCATCTTCAGGAGCGATGACAGGATCTCTTCAGGGATAGTCATTCCTGATTGGTGCTCCCTGACCCAATTCCAGACACTCACTGCCACCGAGTCACTGCAGACTCGCCGCGCCCCTACGGGACAGGGCAGACTGTACCTTGTTCCAGGAGTAGGGTCCCATCTTCCCCCTGAGGAGCAGCCGCTGCTGGTTTCAAACTGCTGCCCTTGCAGTGAGCACCCCAACACGTAACGGTGCCTGTGCTACATTGTTCAGTCGCCAGTCTTTAAAAGTCAGCAGAACTGCCTTACAAAAATGAAGTATCTGTTGTTTCAAGCTAGCGGTAAATTGGACTTGTTACTACATGATAACTGGTGAAAAAAAACTTTCTTAAATGTATGACAATTAAATTGATTCTTTAAAAAGAGTCTTTTCGAAAGTAAGCAACAGTTTGTCCGTTGTGTATTAAAATTGTAAAATAGTTTGGACAGAATTTCCTCTTTTCATATAAGCTAGTTAAAAGCATTTAAAAGTCTCATTTTTTAAAATTTGCGTAAGTTAGGTAGAATCTTCATATCAAAATACCTCTCCAAATTCCTCAGAATGGACCTATTAATTATTTTAAAGAGGAAATCTTTAAATATTGTTATAAGAATTGTGAATGGCATATTTCTAAAGCATTCCACTTTTAAAAAATTCAAATGGTGTTTATATACTTTTGAAAATAGTTAATTCGTCTCTTTTTCTTCTTCTTTTTGATGTAACCCAAATGTATTGCAGAATGCAATGAGAGCAACGATGGAATACCATGCTGACAAGGGGGTTTACCCTCCTATTCAAGTTCATGTGACACTAGGCAATGAGGATTTGACTGTGAAGGTAACTGCATTAAATTTTGTTTGTTTGTAGATATGCAATAATAACCGTGTACATAATTTCTAAAAGACGTAATAACTTCTTAGCTAAAGAAATCCTGTTGCGGATAGAAAATAGAAAATCTGGCAGATTATGGAGTTCCCTCTTGAGTCTGTGTTGGTCCTAATACAGGTGATTCAACGTAAAGCAAGCCCTGGAGATAGACTGTTTATCAGTCATGAGGAATATCTCCTTTGATAGGTGACAGCTAAGATATTTTGGTAATTACCGTGCATCATAGATAGCAAATGATTTACTCCTAAGTATTTTATTCCGTTTGATGCCCTTGTAAATGGAGTAGTTTCCTTAACCTCGTTTTGGACTGTTTAAGGCTGGTTGACGGATCCGTAGCTGGAGTTGGTTGACTTTATATCCTGCAACCTTGCTGTGCTCCTGTGTTAGCACTCAGCGTTTTCCTGTGTGCATTTCTTAGAAGTTCCCAGATACAATATCATGTCCGTTTTTCTTTCCGTTCTGGATGCCTTCTTTCCCCCTTCAAGTTGAACTTTTGAGTGCAATCGTGATGAAAAGTAGCAAGAGCAAGGTTACCTTGGCTTGTTGGAGACTCTTGCACCTATATTCCTAGGGGATGGTCATACTCCTCTTGTGATGTCTTTGTCTGGTGTGGTAGCGGGTAATACTGGCTTTATGGATGAGGTGGGAAGTACAGTTCTATTTTTGGAAGTGTTTAGAAAGATTGGTGTTAATTCTTGTTTAAACCCTTGTTAAACTTCTCAAGTAAAGCCATCTGGGCGTGGGCTTTCTCTGTGACAAATTTTCTGATGGATAAGTCAATCTCTTGATTGTCATATGTCTATTTCAGATTGTTTTTGGGTCCATTTCAGTAGCTTGTATCTTTCAAGGAACTTGCCCATTACATCTAGGTCAGGAAATACGTTGGCAGACAATTGTTTGTAGTATTTCTTCTAATGCTTTTTATTTTATTTTTAAAAATCGTTTTATTGGGGGCTCGTACAATTCTTATAATCCACACATACATCCATTGTGCCAAGCACATTTGTACATTCGTTGCTCTCATCATTCTCAAAATATTTGCTCTCCACTTAATCCCCCCGCATTAGGTCCTCATTTTTCCCCTCCTTCCCCGCTCCCCCTCCCTCATGAACCCTTGATAATTTACAAATTATTATTTTGCCATATCTTGCCCTGTCCGACATCTTCCTTCACCCACTTTTCTGTTCTCCATCCCTCAGGGAGTAGGTTATATGTAGATCCTTGTAACCGGTTCCCCCTTTCCAACCCACCCACCCACCACCCTCCCAGTATTGCCACTTACAGACTGGTCCTGAAGGGATTATCTGCCCTGGATTCCCTGTGTTTCCAGTTCCTTTCTGTACCAGTGTACACCCTCTGGTCTAGCCAGACTTGTAAGGTAGAATTGGGATCATGATAGTGGGGTAGGGGTGGGAGGTGAGGAAGAGACATTTAGGAACTAGAGGAAAGTTGTATGTTTCATTGTTGCTACATCGCACCCTGACTGGCTCGTCTCCTACCTGAGACCTTTCTGTAAGGGGACGTCCAGTGGCCTACAAATGGGCTTTGGGTCTCCACTCTGCACTCCACCCCCATTCACTATGGTAAGATTTTTTTGTTCTGATGATGCCTTATACCTGATCCCTTTGACACCCTCATGATCACACAGGCTGGTGTGCTTCTTCCATGTGGGCTTTGTTGCTTTTGAGCTAGATGGCCGCTTGTTTATTTTCAAGCCTTTAAGAGCCCAGACACTATATCTTTTGATAGCCAGGCACCATCAGCTTTCTTCACCACATTTGCTTATGCACACATTTGTCTTCAGCAATTGTGTCGGGAAGGTGTGCATCATAGAATGCCAATTTAATAGAACAAAGTACTCTTGCATTGAGTAAGTACTTGAGTGGAGGTCCAGTGTCCATCTACTGCCTTAATAGTAAACCTATAAATATATGCACGTAGATCTATTTCCCGACCATCCTATATACATATATTTACATATGTACATGCTTATATTTAGACCTCTATAAATACCTTTGTCTCCTAGTTCTTTCCTCTGTTTCCTTTGACTTTCCTCTTGCCCCACTATCATGCTGGGCCTTCATTTGGGTTTCAGTAATTCCTCTCTGTTACATTGCCCTTGATCAAGCCATTCCATGCCTTTTAATTTTATAAGGTCAGTAGTAATGTCCCCATTCGCTTCCCTGATTTTAGCAATTAGGGTCTTCTCACTTTTTGTTTTGGCCAGTGGCTTAAAGTTGGTTAATCTTTATTAATTCTTTTCAAAGAACAGATTTTTTGTTTCATTAATTTTTTCTCTATTGTTTTCCTGTTGTGTATTTCATTAAAGTAAACTAGAATCTTTAGTATTTCTATGTTTCTGCTCACTTTTAGTTTTACATAGTTCTTTTCCTAATTTTTTTCGAGTTAAGGTTAGAATATTGATTGAAAAAGAAAATTTAATTTAGGTATTTACAGCTATACATTTTCTTCTAAGCTCTATTCTCTCTTCATTTTTCATTCAAATCATAGTAACTTCTAATTCCCTTTGTGATTTCTTCTTTGATCCATTAGTTATTTAGGGGTATGCTATTCAATCCCCACAGTTATGAATTTTCCTAATAATCACCAGTTAATGGTTTCTAATGTTATTCTATTCCAGTCAGGGAACATAATTTACGTGGTATGCGGTCCTTCCACTTTGATTTAGACGTCTTTTATGGTCACAAACTGTTTATCCTGGAGAATGTCTCAGGGGCCCTTAGGAAGTGTGGGTCCTCTGTTGCCGGGTGAAGCATTCTATATAAATCTCTGTTAAGTCTGGTGGGATTATGTGGTTTAAGTCTCCTCTTTCTTTTTGATCTATCGCATGATCATGCCCATTATTGGAAGGAGAGTCTGGAAGTCTCCAACAGGAGGCTCGGGCTATGGCTGCCATCATGTCATTTGTTTTACTTTCTTAATAGTTGCATTGGGGATTGTATTTAACTGTTTAGATTGCAACAATCTAGTTTGGATTAATCCCCGCGTCATTTTGATATATTAAACTTCTCTCGACAGTATGTTGTGGCTGCCTTTCCAGGCAGTACGTAATAGCTCTATATAATATTTAATGACGGCACAGTGTTCACTTTTAGAGTTATTGAATCTAATCCCTTGCTTAGCTTGGTATCTGGGTTATTTATTGTAAATAGTGCTGTGATAGATTTTTTTTTTTCTTGTATACTTTTTGATGATTTTCTTAGGATAAATTTTTGGAAGCGAAATTGTTGAATCAAAAGGTACCTACATGTGTGTGAAATTAGATATTATTTGCCACACTTACCCCCAGGAAATAATAAAAAATGTACCTTGCTATCCAAGAGAAACTTGCCTTGTGGGACTCCAGGAACTAGACAAAGCGTCAGAGGTTAGTCTGGATCAGACTTCACATCCTAAGGAAGCAGTAGGCCTACCATGGAGGGTCGTTTTTACCTTTGTAACCTGGATTGAACGGTGTGCATTTTGCAGACCAGGGCTCCAGCCTGTGCTCCACCCGTGGCACTGTGGTCTGCAGTTTGTTGTTAATTGGGCTTGGGCCCAGAGTGTGACTGTTTTTCTCCTTAGATGTGTGACCGTGGAGGGGGTGTACCTCTGAGGAAAATTGACAGACTCTTCAACTACATGTATTCAACCGCACCCCGGCCTTGTGTGGCAACCTCCCGAGCAGTACCTCTGGTATGTGGTCAAGAGATTACGACAAACTTGTTTTTGTGAATTGCCTCTAGTGGGCTCTTGCTGCCAAATAGATCCTCTAAGCACGTGTGTATGGTGGTCCACAGGGAAGAAGGAATCTATTACAAATAAGTACTTTCTTCATTTAAAACAGCCTGTGGGATGTGCGTTTGCTGGTTTATTTTGGAGTTCTCGCGGCCAGACTTAATAGAGATAGACGATCAGTGCTTTGCATGTAGTAAATCACATTTTTATATGCTGTTAGTAATGTGACGAATAAGTTAGCTGGTTTTATTAGTATTTAGTTAACACAGGTTTAATCTTCATTGTTGATTTTTTTTTTCCCCCCTCGAGTGCTGGTACTTAATTAGAAAGATCTCATATTCTAGACACTGAAATAAGTCTAGAGTTCTGAGCAGCTAATCACCAGCTTGAAATGATTCAAGCTATCATCTTTTTTGTGTGTTATTTTTTACACATCCTAATCACCCATATTAGATATAATAACATCAGTTTCTGAAGTGAGCTTACCCCTTATTTCATGCCTCTCAACAGAGCCCTTTGCCAAATCCCTGTCCTCTAATCCTGGACAGGATATTGTCTTCTAGCCATAACTGAGTCTATATCTGGCCATTTCACTCTTACATATAGTTAGATTCCTCCTTTGCCATGGGCAGGATTTTCTGAGCGAGGGCAGTCTGTATAAGATGCTGTGGCCATAGACACAACATTTTACAAGTCCGTAGAGGACACTGCAGTATGTAAATCAATGGACAGTGCTAATGGAGGAAGTACTTTAGACATGGAGTCCACTGCACTCCCAGAATATTTCTCTATTGTTGAAGGACAGGCGGTTTCCCCCGGGTGATGGAGAGAGCCGGTGTGCTCCATCTTTCACCAAGCAGCTGATAGACCCCCTGGGCAAAGGCACCATGCTGGAGGCTCGGCATCGGCTCTGGTGTGGGCAGGTTGTGCCCGCCGCCGCTGTGGTGGTAGGGAGACCAGTGAGGGTGTTGTGGCGGTCTCGCAGAGACGCCTTCCTGCTGCCCACACGGAGATGACTGGGCAGAGGCTAGCCATGAGTGGCCATCTTGGCCACCTGATGATTGAGCACTTCTGGTGGCCTTGACCCGGGACAGAACACCTTTCACTTGAAGCCACCACACAGCGTGGACAGAGACCGTCTACATTTCTCCCAGACCTCTTCATCAGCTGCTGCCCGGGCTTGCTGCGTCCAAGTCGCTGGCCAGTCAGCACGTTTGCCTTGAGCGTGCGTGGCTGTCAGTAACTGGCACTCTGCCCACCCATTCGGCTGACTCTT